ACAAGATAATTCTTAAAACGTAAGTGAACGTTAAAGAAATTTTAAAGATAACTATTTCAGCTTAAGCCTCCGCTCGGTGTTGGAAAATTTATTTAAAATATCTTCTTTGTTTAGAACGTTTGACAAATCTCTCTCAATTGATATGATTGATAACTTTGAAAACCGATTTGGTAGCATGGTTGACCTCATGTATGTGTTAATTCGACGCATAGCTGAAAACGTTCTTTCACAAGATGCAGAACTTGTAGGAATTGAAAGCGCTAAATGTAGCGTTTTGTATAAATTTGGGAAAACAGATTTTTCCACGATACCTTTTAGCTGATTTAAATGTTCCTGGCGATTGTTAACCTTTTCCAATTGAGTATCATAACAATTTTTTGCAACCAAAATTTCGGATTTTAAGTCAGTTTCATTAATATTTAATAAAGCTTGAAAACATAAGAAAACATTATAATATTAATAAACAAATTGTGTCTTACCATGTGGATTCACAGTACTTGCAGTTGATTCCCGTGGTTTCATTTTAAAAATGTTAAAAATATCGCTTTTTTTCGACATGACCAAGTAGGTTACTACCACCAAGTGAGGAAAACAACAACAAGCGAATAAAATCCGTGATGAACAAGATAAATTATTTAAACTTTAAATTAAACGCGGATTTCGATGAAAAACTGTCACCACACCGTTTTAATCAAGAAAAATAATAACGATGACTCGAGTACCAATTATCAGACACGAACACACAACCGCTGTACTCGGAGAATGACGAAGATAATATTATATAATCTGATTCTATTTTTAGCAAAATATCGCAGGCACAGCGATTGTCGTTACTCGTTAATCGTTATCACCATTCACTAATAACGAATAATCGTACGTCTTTAACGACTATTTTTGTGTTTAGTTTGTTGACAACTTCTAAGTAGTATTTCTGTAGTTAAAAATACTCGACATGATACGTATTACGTCTGGGCCATTACATAACAGTTTAATAACCAAAAAAAATAAATATTTTTCCAATATATTAATAAAAAAAAAAACGATATTTAAAATTAAAGTTGAAAAATGTAGCTACCGTTGGTGGGACTAAAAATTTTGACAGGGGGGGCTAAAATTTGTTTTTTTTTTTGGGGGGGGCTTAGCCCCCCAAGTCCCCCCCTAGTTACGCCTATGGCTCACGACTTCAATAAAATGTTCTGATATTAATTTTGAAAGCAGATTTGAATTTGTCCCAAAATTATCTATTTTTTGACAATTTCATTTTTTTGATTTTTATTTTCTTTTGCTAAGAAATTTACTAACAAAAAGAGTAAAAATATATCATATTCATAATTCAAATTTAAATACATTGATATAGAATATGAAAAATGTACGACAGTTAAAGCATAATAAATTTAGAGGAGAATTCAAATCTGCTTTCAAAATTTAAATCGGAACATCCTACTGAGCGTAGTGATTGAAGTCACTGGCAGTATTTTTTGAAAAATAATTTTAGTGATTTTATAAAGTAATATGCATGACAAATTAGATAAGTATCATCACAGTTGTACTAGTTTTGAGCAGTAGTTACGCACTTACGCAACTCCTTCACTTCCGGCCTATATCGTAGTCCTCCAAGTCTTCAAGTGTTTAGTATATGAAATTCCCAGGGTAGTAGTTAAATTCAACTGGTTTACTAATCGATTAGTGCAATTCATTACTTCTATAACTTATAAGTATTAAAAAAGAATTGCAAGACAAATAGTTTTTGGTTTACCTTACTTTTACTTTACGCTATGTTGTTGAAATTATAAATAATAATTTTTATTTTATTTTATATACTCAGATTTTGGCATCCACTTTACCTATATCATATTCTTCGTGCCAACTTCAAGGAGGTTCTTCTAACCAACAATTGAAATACTTTACAATATTGTTATGTTCTAACTTTGATAGTGCATCAACTTCACAAAATGCACGGTCTCTAGGTTCTTGTCTATTATAAATAAATAAAATAATAAAACAAATTTATGTATATACATTATTAAGTACATATTTATTATTTTATCCAATAAGTTGAATTTGATAAGCTATTGAGTAGGTACCTAGACTCAGTACAAAATAAAAGCGAGCCGGTTCTACAGTTATTTCCCTTTTCACCGGTCAGAAACTCAGAACCTATGCCATTATGTGGCCATGTGGGAGATGAGCTACGCCGGATAGAAACAGGTCACTGACCGGTGAGCTCTTCTTTAGTTTGAAGTATAGTTCTTATTATCAAAGTAATCTAGAGGACATATTTTAAAAATATGAATGTGAATTAAAAATCATAATATTATGCCATTTATTATGTAGTAACTACAGAAAATGGTACTTGTTTGTTATCGCCCCTCCAGTACATCGCATAAAATTTATCGCTATTGCTAATCGTTTGTGATCTATTTTAGAAAATGATAAAATGTAGTTAAAATGCTGTGGTTGATTGGAGTAATTATCTACGGGAGGTATGTGTATGGAAGCTTGAAAATAATCAAAATAAAAAAAAATTGGTGGTCCCGGTCTTTTTGTTGAAATAGATGAAAGTTTATTTGTGCGTAGAAAAAATAATGCTGGACGTATTCTGCCACAGCAATGGATTTTTGGTGGAATATGTCAGGAAACTAAAGCATGTTTTATAATCAGTGTACCTGATCGATCGGAGAAAACATTGTTACCTATAACACAAAGATATATATGACCAGGCTCAATAATTTTGTCAGATTGTTGGAAAGCTTACAATAATTTGCAGCGAGTGGAGTTCAAACATAATACTGTAAACCACACCTATAATTTTGTCGATCCGGACACAGGGGCTCACACCCAAAATATTGAGAGGTTGTGGGGTTCCGCTAAATGGGGGCAATAAAAATCGTCGTGGAACTAACAGAAATTTTCTAGAATCATATTTGGCAGAGTTAATGCGGAGAACACGTCTCGGAGAACAAGACGCATTTGAAACTATCCCCAAAGATATTTCCGAATTCTGGCCTCCATTATAACTATATATTCATATATTTTATACATTTTTTATATTTTCTAAATTTTTAATTTAAATTTTATACTATATATTTATATATTTAAAACTATTAAAATAAAATAATATTATACATCAAAATATTTTTATATTTATGGAGGGGCGATAACAAACAAGAGTGGCGGGGCGATAAATTTTATACGGTGTACAGGCGGGGCGATAACAAACAAGTACCACATTTTATAGTAATGTAATAAATAACTAATATAGTAATATCCCCTACTAAAGTAGTTTTTGGCACTGTATAAATTGAACTGTATTATTATTTATTATTAGGCTTGTACATGAGGTATTTCCGTGGTGTCGTTACATAATTGCATTTGAATATAAGCAAAAAGAAGTATTTATTATATCAGATTTCGGTAACGCACGGGTGTGCTCGACGCGGTATGATGGGTTTTCTACTTAGTGCGTGTCAAAAACTTTAAGGTCACCAAGCGGTTATCGCGGTTAGCCTCCAACGTAGCTCGAGAGTGAGTCAGCACTCGAGTTAATTCGAATCAGAACAGATTATCAGAATTATCAGAATTATGATTTATTAACATGTAAGATAATTCGTAATGAAAATAATTTGTCGCGTAATGCGCAATAAATAACAAGACAACTACAAAGAAAGCGAATGGCACTTAAACAATTAATTAATTGACGATAAGAAAAAGGACAGTCGGTCACGAGGTTTTCGCGATTCGGGTAAACGGGTAAACCGTTATTTACGAGTTGTAAAAGTGGCGTCGGCAAGGCGGGAGAGTACCTGTCTGTGTTGGTTACGAGCACGATTAAAGATATATATCTTTAATCGTGGTCACGGACTAAGATATAATGGACTGGAAACGACATGGTCGGCGGGGATCGGGGGACGGCCACGAAAAGATGTCACTTAGCTGATAAGAATACTGTTCTTGAAGTTTTCAGCGCTACCGGTGGTTTTATTTGGCTACACAATTTGTATCTTAGTCCGTGTTAAATACAGAGGGCGCTGTGAACTCCAAGAACAGATAGCGACCCCCCGCACTTTGCCTCTTGTACATACATTCGTGGCCATGATAAGCTGCTCGTTTCCAGTCCATTATATCTTATATAGTCCGTGACATAGGCGTGCGCACGGGGGCAGCAGAGGCAGCATATGCTGCCCCTGGACTTTCTTTGCGGCCACCGGGGCCAGCAAATATTAAATAATGGGCCTCGGTAAAATTATATTTCCACAAAATTTTTTTTTTGTTTTGATAAACTATAGATAAATATTGTATATATAGGCTTGTAGAAAAGTACACCTTTAGTGGCTTAGTACCTTATTGTACAACCTTTTATCCAAAAAAACAAATAACCAATACAATTTTAATTTTGATATTCAATAGTAAAAAAAGTAAAACTATGAGCTGGTTTAAATGGTGAATTTGTAAAATGGGCCGAATTAATTTCTTGCTGCCCCTGAAACCGGAGGCTGCGCACGCCTATGGTCCGTGATCGTGGTTACGAGAGGAGTTGTAGTCAAACGGTGGACGGCGCAAAAACATTGTTACCAACTGCCTAAAAGTACAACCGACAGCGGAGGGAGGTTATGTGGCGCTGGTTCGCCACAGTATTATTTTACCTGGTAAAATGTAAACCCCTTAAACCTTGGTACTATTTTACCATAACAAAATGCTTACAAAACTTTTAATAGGTACCGTGTTTTAGTAAGCCAATTAGAAAATAGTTGCTGACACGACGAGTTGTGATTTGTGGACCCACCTAATGATCAGTAGAAACCAATAATTGTGGTTCAGATTTGTTTTCGTCATTCGTTTCGTCACTTTCCAGTCTCCACTTTTCCTGTTGCCCAGTCGGACCTTCATCACAGCCAGGTAAAAGTAACCACTAAACGGCTAAACAGTAAACAACTAAATAATATTTAAACCAGTGTTTGGTAGGTAGTTCATTAGAGTAAAAACTACAACTATAAAATATAATGTCAGAAAAAAAGGAAACTGAAAATAAAAAAAAAAAATTGTAAGTACCTACCTACATGTGCAAACTCGCTACACTTTTACTAATTTTAACTATTTATGTTTTTTCTGCCATGTATTTCAAATTGAACAATAAATACTTTAAGACAACATATTCCATCTGTATCAATAGAGTATAACCAGCATATAGGTCAATTGCCAAGAGAAACCAAGTCAATCGATGGAAATCTTAAGCCAGTGTTTAAGGCACTGTGGATAGCTAAGTAGGTTATAAATTATAATTTTAGACGACGATCCACGTAGATCTTTGAAAATGAAGAAGTTTTGATATTTTATGTATAGTTGGTTTAAGAGTATATGATCAGTGAGAGCATGATTGTTTTGTCATTAATTGCTAAAAGCTAAAATTGTTGAATCCACTATGTATTACATAATATCATGAATACATTTTACACATTTATCTAAAATTACCAAAGTTGTTGTATAAATTAATAATTAATTACAAACAGTTTGTTGATCAAGAATGCGATGGACAGTATTGCAGCCAGAGAAGCAAAACATGACAAAAAAAGTGGTCATAAGGATTCAACTCTTAAAGATCTTTATAAAACCGTCTGGAAACTCAAGTACGTATAAACAATAAATTATCAGACACAAATATTTATATTACGGTATGCATATAATTATACTTTGAACAGTGTTTTTAATAAACTCATTAAAATAATGTTTTTACTGGGCAGGGTACAATCATGTAAGCATAGGCATGTCTATGGTGGCAGCCTATAGGGTGCTTGGGCTGCCCCTGCAATTTTTGAAAGGTGCCGGTCAACTGAAATCTAAGTCAGATGGTTATAACATTTCTTTTTTTTTTAAACTTGATTTTTTTGTGGGTATAATTATAATTACCATTTACTTACAAATATTGATTTCCTGACTTCCGAAATCAGAAAAACCTAATATAAAGATTTGAGACAGACGATGACGGTACAGTATGCATCTAGGTATTATTGATATTATTGTTGTATTATTTCTGATTTGTAGCTATGTGATGTAGGTAATCCAAGTCTGTTGATGAATAATATTTCTGAAATTACTGTAGATTATTATTATAAATAGATAATTTAGACTTTTTTTAAATTATGTAAATATTTCATTGTGGAGGGGGGGCCTTAAAAAAATACGGCATTGGGTTATTTTCAGTTCACTAATAAGGTAGCGCCGGTTATTAGCTAGGCTGCCCTTACCGCCTTTGCTTGTAAGTTTATACAACAATTTGTGCAGCAGTGTATGAGCATGATTTTTAAAAGATTGTACAATATTTAAATTTAAAGGTTAATATTTAAAATATGTTATTAAAAAAAAACTGGTTAAGTGGATGTCGCTCTGCTGTACAGTAGGTTACAAGTGAGTCACTATATGATGGTTTGTATTAAATTTGAATTCAATAATATCATATCAATGTATACGAAAAACAATTCTGAGCGAAGAAAGTTTGTCAGTCTGGATATTTTATATTGTTATCTTTTACTATAGTCTGAAAGTTGAATTAATAATACTATATAATTATTATTTTTTATATAGTTTCCATGGTGATAGACAAAGCGTTAGAAACTAATATCCCGTTTTAAGTGGTCTTTCGTAATTTGTCAGTGTTTTTATCTTAAATATTAATATTAAATTAATATTGAAAAAATCGAAAGATTACCTCTTTAAAGTACCATCTTGATCCAATTTGCTAAAAGATAAGATACGTTATATTGAAATCAAAATCATTCCTCCTGGTAGAAATTTTGTATGGAGGTTAAAATAAGATATAAACACAATTATAAAACCAGTAGCGCAATAGTTATTTAATGCCACTATAAAAACCACCGCCAAATTACTCACCTCAAAATCAAAAATTTTGAAAGTACCTTATAAGTTATTTAAATTACCAATTATGTTTCATTATCTCAAAATTATCTCTTCGGTGATAATCTGTAATATGCATAAGAACATGTTTCTTGATAGTTCAATTATCCACCCAGACTTATCTAAAATTGCCAGAATTGTTGTACAAATTAATAATTAATAATTAATTATAAACAGTTTGTTGATCAAGAATATGAAGGACAGTATTGCAGTCAGTGTAGCAAAACATGATGGCAAAATAAATGGTCATATGGATTCAAATCTTAAAGATCTTTATAAAACCATCTGGAAACTCAAGTACGTATAAACAATAAATTATCAGATACAAATATTTATATTACGGTACGCATATAATTATAATTTGCACAGTGTTTTTGATTAACTCGTTCAAATAATTTTTTTACTGGACAGGGTAACACATTATTCGGTTGAAGTATACTTTGTGCATAGTTAATTTTATTGAGCATTGTAACTTAAATTTAAAATCAATGTTTAGGCAATTTGAACTTAAATTAGATACAACGATTCCTATAAATTTAAAACATAGGTATTAATTGGAATTAATAATACAGAAGTATAACAAATATTAATTATTTTAGTTATTACTTATTATTAATTACTTAATTATTATTACATGACAAAAAAATGTACACTTTTACTGTTTATATTACAAACACGCATAGGTACCTATAATATAACATTTTCAATATTACCTTGTCAATTATAGCTATAAAGATTATATTTTCATCTACAAAACTACAAATAATTTAAGTACAGTAGAACCTCGATTAACCCTCAGTCTCGGGACCAGAGCTTTGACGGATAATCGAAAAGACGGTTAAGCGAGCAACAAAAATTTAAACATATATACATATTATTTATTTTTTTTTTTCAGTAATTATGACATACATATTGATATAATTAGGTACTATTACTTATTGGTACATTATTATTATTTTTTAATTTATTAAAAAGTTTCATTATTTACAATTACATACATACATACATACATACTTACATATATGTATGTATATATTATTATATATAACCTACTCATACACAAGTGGCCTGACGGTTAATCGAGGTTCTACTGTACTCATAAATTTAATGATTGGTAAATCAGTTTTAACTTTTATTTATTAATTTTTTTTAAATTACATGGTTACAATTTGTACATTTGTAAATGTAAGTTTATATTACAATTTGTGCAGTGCAGTAGTGAATGAGCATGGTTTTGTAAAAGCAAACTAAAAGTTATAAATAATAGTATTATATAAAATAAAAAACCATAGTAGTCGACATTAAGAGACTGCACAATTCTACAGTATATTCTGGGCAATGTGTAATTTTGCGTACAATTGAAATCAGGTAGTGTTCACATTACCAATTAGTTTACTTTACCCTTTATTATAAAATATGTATTACTATTAGATATTTTGTGTAAGAGAAAGAATAGTCGGTAGATACAAATGCATAATTGTACAAATAATTTATTGGTTTTAAAACGGATATGGGCATGTATTTAATATTTATGATATAATTGATTCAATATGCATATACTAAAGTATGTAATTATTTTTTGAAATAATTATGAATTCATGACATTGAATAGAGGTAGTAATAAATAATAATATACTAACAAATAGTTTTTATACTCAATTTTATGTTTTTTAGATATTTTAATTAGATCATTAGGTATTCTGTAACTAACATAAAACAAAAATATTTTTTAAAAAAATATATAATTTTTAAGAGTATAATGATTAGCAAACTAAAACTATCAATCTTGGTACAGAACGAGATAAAATTAAATTTTTTATACCTAAAGTAAATATTTTTTATTTATCAATTTATAAATTATAAGTATCAAGAAATAATTGAACCCCTATGAACTATTACAAAAATTTATTTAAGAAATATATATTCTAATGTAGCTAAACCTGATCTAATATTTGTTTTTCTATTTTTTAAGCTCTCTATTAGATGACCAGTTGCACTTCCAAACATGAATTCAACACAAGGATATTTAAATAACAATGTATTGATTGGCACTGGGGCAGTTCAAAACAAAAGGAAACATTTTTTATTTATAATAACTTAATAACTTTAACAAAATATACATGTATAAAAATTTAAATGAGTAACTTATCAATTAAAATTAAAGTAAAGTACAAACTATGTTACATTATTTCAAAATCATCACTTAGGTCATATACTCAAGAACACGTATCTTGATGGTTTAAATATCCACCCAGATATATATATATATATATATATATATAGATTATTATGTAGATTAGGTAAAACTTAATTTTCTCATAAAAAAATGTTGAATCAGTAACTATCATACCTTTTGGTTATCTAAGACTTCTAAGAAATATGAAAATTAAAATTAAAATTCCATTTAACATAAATTTCTTTCTAATAAATAGAGCAAAATTATTACAAAAAAAAACCATGTGAATAAGTAAATTGTAAAACTTTAAAATACGTAGGACACTACGGTGGTACACTGGTACGTCAAAATGGTAACTAATTAAAATTCTCCTTGTATTCCTAATTCTCAGAATAGGTAATTTATTTTATTTTATTTCATTTAATTTGTTTTATTTAATTATAATCAACGCCAGACAGCTTTTACAAAATTATACAAGAAAGAAAAATGTAGATAACAGATAAAGACATAATATTATTATAGCAACCTATAATAATATGTAAGATGCTTTACATATACTTACAAAAAAAAAAAAAAAACAAAACAAACGTGGTGAATATGATATTAAAACAAAAGATAGCCATTTTTTTTTTTCTATATGTGAGCCTATATGTCTGTATGTACTAAACGCTAAATACGGTTTAATAATCTGTATTATTATTTGCATTATTAATCATTCTTAAAAGTTGGGCATTCATGGAGAAGTTAGATTTATTGGTGGGTATATAAAAATTAGACTGAAGCCTAGTATTACTAGGAATACGAAAACTAATATCTCCAAGAAGCCTTGGGGCATCAACTTGACCTCCGATCAGACCCTGAATAAAAGTGATACCAAAGTTATCACGCCTAACTGAAAGGGAATCAAGTCTCAGAGCTTGACACGTTCGGGCAGACGGATGACCTAACAAGTAATTTTAACCTTGTTAGTTGAAGTATCACAAGTATAGTGGCTCTGGTCTTCAAACTCAAGGGACCTCGCATATTTATGATATTTATTATTTTATTGATTTTTTTTATACTTTTTTGTTACCTAGTAATTATTATAAGCATATGAATTTTTTCTGTCATTTTATACAAATTATCACATTGAATATGCCACTATTATCATTATAACTATATTATTTATCATTGATATTTTTTCTGTCATTTTATAAAGTTTTTTTGTTGTCAAATTATAACATTGAATGCCACATAATTGTAATATTTATTATTTCATTGAATTTTTTATTATACTATTATTATTAAGTAGGTATATATAATTGCAAATATCAAAATTTGATTCTATCATTTTATACTATTTTACATTATTTTTATAAATAATTTTATTTATTATTTGTATATTTACCCCCCCCCTATTTTACAGGCTATATATTGTAATTGTGTATATATTAACATGTGAGGGCAACTGGTATATTTTAAAAATCCCGATAACAGCCATGGGGGGCAACTGGTCAACACTCGATAAAAGTGGCTCTCCAACACCTAGTCTGTCAAGGATATAAAGAAGTGCATTACGGTCAATAGAGTCAAAAGCTTTTGAAAAGTCTGTGTATATCAATATCACATCAACTTGATTACCCTATTCAAATGCCGCGTGAAGGTAATATACAAAGTCTACATATCTTATCTTATCCTATTAATTAGATCAGGGGTCTCCAAACTACGGCCCGGGAATAAGTTTTAACCAGCCCGTGGCCCGCATAGGACGCATTGGTAAATATAGATAAAAAAATTATTTCAAAAATGTATTTATATTATATTATATTTATATCTATTTATTTTTATTTAAGTATATTGTAAAGTAAACAATATTCTATACAAAAATATAAAGTAAACATATTATTGATATAGGTACCTACCTATATTATCATAAAGTTAACAATTATGTGTTAATAAACTTTTGGCCTGCTAAGAGCATTTGATTTTTTTTGTGGCCCTTGAATAAAAAAGTTTGGAGACCCCTGAGTTTTAGATTATAAAAGTGTATATAGGACAGTCTTCAATGTGTAAGTATGTGAATCTACTATCCGAGTGTAAGTATGTAAGTCCACCATGCATTTGTTAAGGTCTCTAGTATCTTAGTTTTAAGGAGTAATATTCAGGCAATTCACATAACAAGAATTTTTAATCTAAATCTATGTGTGAGTAGTAAATGAACATTGGTAAATGTAATGCATTTATATACCCTGACATTACTACCCTGTTATAGAAATACACGATTGAGTGATATACATTTCCAATAACAATATGATGCAACATAATATGTTGAATATGGTGTAATGCTTTTAATTTTATGTTCAACAAAAGTTATTCGTTTTAAATGCAGTTTCAAAAACTTACATACATAGATATATTATTAACATCAATTGTAAATTCATCAGAATATATAAACAGTATAAAACTTAAAAACTGCATTTACTTGTCTAAATTGTATATATATTTTATGTAGGTATAAGGTAAATAGTTACATAAGATACAAACATAAGTAATGAATAAATTATAAAACTAAGATTTTATATATATTATTAAAAAAAATTATATAGCTAAAATTTAAAATATAAAATAAATATTATATATATATTTTTTGTCTAAGTTTAGCAATAAATAGAAGCAAAACAAAAAATACATATACATTAAATAGTCAAAATATAACTTTAAGAGTATGAAGTGAAGAATGCATTTTGAATACAGTAGAGATTGGACAAGTTTACTTTAATTAAATGATTATTTTTTTTTTCAATTAAATAAACTGGTTCAGACTGTACAGACTGTCATTTGATCATAAGAATCATAATTTATTTGTTCGTGACCTCCACTGACAAGTTCATTTAATTTAATCATTAATCAATTCTAATGTGAGTTGTATCTTATCATAATTATACAAAATTAAATTAATTGAATACAAAATAATTTATTATAAGAATGTAAACAAGTATACAAGAAGTCACTATTTCTATTTTTTGGATTTTATACATCAAATTTGACTTAAAATAATATAAAAAAAATTAGTTTGTTGACACATTAAAAAGACAGTAAATAAAAATAATCTGCATCTTATATGGAGTTAAGTAATATGTAATAATTATTAGTATTAGTCTCAATTATCTACTCACCAAGTATATTTAGTTTAGTTTTTACCAACAAACCATGTTTACTGTTTAGTAATCAAAAGCAAGATATTTATAAAGTAATATGGACAACTGTCTGGACACTGATGTGATATGGTATTTAATCTTTTAGTTTGGTAAATATTTAACCTTCAGGAATGTGAGTACCTATTCCGTCGCCCGGGTTAAAAGTGTCCTTTGATTAAACATAATATATTTTTATTTCACATTTATTTATTTTAAATTTAATATTTTCCTAAGTATATAACAAAAAAAGAATACTAAATGTAATAAGGTAATGCTTTTAATTTTACATTTGTTTTATTTTTTTACCTTTTAACCATTTATTTTATTTTATTTTATCTATTAATAAGAAAAATGTCAATCCCCTAAAGTACAGTTCAATTATAATAAAAATATTTTTTATTTTTTTTATTTGCAAATAAGTAATATACAATCTGTACCAAATGACACAATAAGCATATAGGCTCAGAGTAAAAATATGACATGAAGTAACACTTATTATCTGGAAATTTAATTTGAGGATACATTTTTCACAAGAAATATAAAACTCGGGAACTATTAAAATCAGGAAAATATTTTTCAGAACTAACTATTTAATGGTACATTTACCTAACCTAACCTACAAAAACATTTGCATCCATATTAATTAATAACGTCAAATGGTCATACAACTTGGGCAGTGGTATAACTTGGACCAAAATCATAACTTTTTATTTTTCGCGCCATAAAGCCCATAGATAATAATGATATCTTAAAGCCGTGGTATCAAGTGATAGAGTTATCACGCTATTTTGAATATTTTTTTCTAAATAAATGTATAATATGTATAATGGTATATAAATGTATATTGTTTGTTATATGTACATCAAAGAATGATGATATAAAATCATGGAAATAAATACCTACCGCAAAATATAATAAATAGATTAACATTTAACCTGTAGGTATCTGGTATATCAATTCATAAAAAAAAACCTTAAATCAGTAAATCACGTACTATTTTGAATGACAGAGTAAACTTATTAGACAATACTACAATAGATACCTATTATTTATTAAGTACATACATAGGTATTCCATTAAGTGGTTACATAATTAAATAGGAGATGGGAGGGGAACTAACGAGGGCTTAGCCCCACAAAAGTCCCCCTCTTTTTTTAGTTGTGTGGCATCGAAGCCCCCCCCCCAACTCACATTGATGTTAATAATATTAGCCCCCCTGAAATTGTAATGGATTTCTACCTATCAGTAGGTAGGATGTTAGTAATAATTGTGATTTGTGTTTTGTTTGTAGTAGGTTAAATATAATTTTAAATATTTTACATGTACCTACTACATATTATTTACTTTACAGATGATGAATTAAAAACTGTTGGGTGGATAATTCATAATTTGTAAGAATAATTATTAAATTATTTTAATTGTAATATTTAAAAAAAATAATATTAATTACATACATAGATAGAAAAAAAAGTATGTTGCTGCGCGCGGGTCGACAATATCGACACATATTCGGCTAGTCGTATTTTTGGAGCGGCGATACGGGAAAGGTAATTTAAGTCAACATTACATTACATTACATTAAATTAGAGGCAATTCATTAATAAATTGAAAAATTAAACATAATAGATAAAATAATTGCAAAATTATAATAAAATCA